AGTGTGTGTGTGAGAGAGAGAGGAGTGTGTGTGTGAGAGAGAGGAGTGTGTGTGTGTGAGAGAGAGAGGAGTGTGTGTGTGTAAGAGAGAGAGTGGAGTCTGTGTGTGTGTGAGAAAGAGAGTATGAGTGTGAGAGAGAGACAGACGAGTGTGTGTGTGAGAGAGAGGAGTGTGTGTGAGACAGAGAGGAGTGTGTGTGAGAGATAGAGAGGAGTGTGTGTGAGAGATAGAGAGGAGAGTGTGTGTGTGAGAGAGAAGTGTGTGTGTGTGAGAGAGAGGAGTGTATGTGTGAGTGAGAGAGAGGAGTGTGTGTGTGTGAGCGAGAGGAATGTGTGCGTGTGAGAAAGAGACAGAGGAGTGTGTGTGAGAGAGAGAGAGAGGAGTGTGTGTGTGTGAGAGAGAGAGTGTATGTCAGAGAGACAGTGTGTGTGTGAGAGAGAGGAGTGTGTGTAAGAAAGAGAGGAGTGCATGTGTGAGAGAGAGTGTGTGTGAGAGAGAGAGGAGTGTGTGTGTAAGAGAGAGAGACAGGATTGTGTGTGTGTGAGAGAGAGAGGAGTATGTGTGTGTGAGAGAAAAACAGAGGAGTGTGTGTGTGTGTGAGAGAGAGTGTGTGTGTGAGAGAGAGGGATGACTGTGTGTGTGAGAGAGAGAGGAATGTGTGTGTGAGAAAGAGAGGAGTGTGTGTGAGAAAGACAGGTGTGTGTGTGAGAGAGAAGTGTGTGTTAGAGAGAGTGTATGTGTGAGTGAGAGAGGAGTATGTGAGAGAGAGAGGAGTGTGTGTGTGAGAGAGAATGTGTGTGTGAGAAAGAGGAGTGTGTTGTGAGAGAGAGAGATGAGTGTGTGTGTGTGAGAGCGAGGAGTGTGTGTGAGAAAGAGAGGAGTGTGTGTGTGAGAAGAGTGTGTGTGAGAGACAGGAGAGTGTGTGAGATAGAGTGAGGGAGAGATGACTGTGTGCGTGTGTGTGAGAGAGAGAGATGAGTTTGTGTGTGAGAGAGAGGAGTGTGTCTGACAGAGAGGAGTGTGTGTCTGACAGAGAGGAGTGTGTGTCTGACAGAGAGGAGTGTGTGTGTGAGAGAGGAGTGTGTGTCTGACAGAGAGGAGTGTGTGTATGTGTGTGCGAGACAGAAAGGAGCGTGTGTGGGAGACAGCGAGGAGTGTGTTTGGGGGTGGGTGTGTGTGTGAGTGGGTGTATGGGGCGGGAGGCTGGAAGGGGTGTCAGTCCAATAATTTGCCACTGTCTGCCTCAATAGTGATGAAGTGTCAGTAACAATATTACAACAGCCCCACAGTATTAATAGTCTTCCCTATAATAAACCACACACAATTGTTAAATTACAGCACAAACTGAAGTGCCCGCTCCTTTCACAGCATCGTCCTCAAATGTAAAAGACCAGAGCATCTCTCGAAGCTTCAGAAAGCACACAGCAACAAGCAAGCCGTCCCCGGTTAGACACAAAGAGATGGGAGACAGAGAGAGAGAGAAACCAAATTAAAATTAAAGAAAAAAACCGAGAAATGGGTCAGAGGCATCAGCTTCCCACAGAGAGCAAGTGCCCAGTTATTAGTGTTTACTGTTGATTGATATTAATCTTCAGGATAGGACTGAACTCCTCAACATGGGATTTCATCAACTAGATCTCACTCAGCTCCGTGCTGCTGTGCACTCATCAGACCCTGGTGCACAGTCAAACAAACGCACGGTTTGCTTATTGCTTTCAGTTTGCCGCTGAGACATCTCACAGACTTCATCCTTTCCGAGATGGGATCACCAAACCACTATTTAACAACGATTCACACACTGACCCAGTACTGGTCCCCACACTAACCCAGCGCACACACTAACCAGGTACTGGTCCACACATTAGCCACATATTGACGCAGCACTATTCCACATATTAACCCAGTTCTGGTCCCCATACTGACCAGGCACTGGCCCCCATACACTCACCCAGTTCTGGTGCCCACATTACCCGATATAAACGGGGTCGGGGTGCAGTACTCACCAGCTGTAAGGTACAGAGGAAGATTAAGGTACAGCGGCCTGAGCAGCAACCCATTCCAGCCAGGGGCCAGCTCCTGGGGTTACTCCGCAATGGGACTCACCGAGCCGCCGGTGAACTGTAGGGAGGAGGCTGCACTGAGCAGACAAGCCATACACAGGACGGTAAAAACACAGCGCCGGCAGCTCCAACCTACCGGAGCCCGGGGCTAATACACACACGTCCACAGCCCTGAGCCGGGGGTTAGGCACAGCTCTCCGCTCCCGAGCCGGATGCACTGGCTCAGGGCACAAAGTTGAATGGAGTTGGTGCGATTTTCGGAAACGTGAGTCGTCAGGGCGCTCTGGGCGTGGCAGCCTCTCACCAAATCCCATCAATGCAGGACCTGAGGGTAGGGGGAGTGTGGGGGTCTGGTAGGCTGCGTTAGCAAGGCAGCTTCACACAGAGAAACCATCAGCTGGGACCCTGGCTAAGCCGGTTTGTAACAGTGACAGGTCGGACATTTCTCTAAGGGAACACCAAACAATAATCACGGAAATCAAACAAAGAACTGTGGATGCTGGAAATCTGACACAGAAACTGCTGGAGAAACTCAGCAGCTCTGGCAGCATCTGTGGGGAGAGAAACAGAGTTAATGATTTGGCTCCTGTCACCCCCTTCTTCATCAGAGCTCTCAGTCTTTTGGGGACAATTGGTTCAGAAATTCAAATAGGAATGTAAGTTTCCAGTTCCTGATAAAGGGTCACTGGACCCGAAACGTTAACTCCGATTTCTTTCCACGAATGCTGCCAGACCTGCTGAGCTTTTCTAGCAAATTTCTGTTTTTGTTTCTGATTTCCAGCATCAGCAGTTCTTTCGGTTTTTAGGTTTCCAGTTTTATTTTATTAAATCTGTAGGGCAGTAATAGCCATTTGGATCATTAGTGTCTGAGCGATCGGGAGCTCCTTCGCAAAATCTTTAAAGACTCTGCCCTCAATCTGCAATATTGCGTTCAGAAGGTTAGGTGTTGTGACAGAGAATAGTGAGGCAGGTTGGGGGTACCGTTCTGAGCGCCAGGGTCAGACTTCAGCAGATTGCAGGCAAGATCTCTCCCTGTTGAGAGCTGTGCTGCTCAGCCTCAATGTGTCGATGAAAACAGAAGCTTTGCAAATGGAGACACGTTTGCACCAGCTCCTGTTGTCCGCATAGAGAGTTCTGAAAGCTGAAAGGGACCAAGCAGCGGAGCGAAGTCGACACTGCATTCAAATGAAAGAAGGAAAAAAAACACCTCATTCGATCAGCCCATCACTCCATACCGTCCACCCGAAACAAATATTCTCACATCTAATCGCTGCTATTGGGTTTTTATTTTCACCCACATTAACCTGAGCATCTTCCTGGAAAACCAACATCTCAATGGTCAGAGATAGTAGGAACTGCAGATGCTGGAGAATCCGAGACAACAAGGTGCAGGGCTGGATGAACACAGCAGGCCAAGCAGCATCATAGGAGCAGAGAGGCTGACGTTTCGGGCCTAGACCCTTCATC